AACTTAGGAACCATGAAATAAATTTGATAAAAAACTCCCATTAAAAAACATATAAGCCTTAATCGAGCCTTATCAAAGGCTCATTAAAATCGCGATAAAATTTTTTCGCGCAGGTAAAAATTTTTGCAAAAATTTGTGGAACTAAAAAACATTCCAAAAATTGAAAAAAAAAAAATTTTTTTGTCAAAGTGGCCTTAATTAACTACCGAATTTTACGTAACGCTATGTAAACTTGACGAGTTATCTCGTCAATGGGCGTTTAAGGGGTTTTTAAAATGTTACATTTTGAAATTGTTACACAATATATCTATAATTTGACAACTTACAGAATTATTAGCCAATCAAATTTACAGGTTTATTTATGTGTATTTCCTTTTTTGAAACTAAACAATCATACTGTACAGTCTTAAGAAACTATAAGACCACCACATTTTTTTAGTTTTCTCAAAACTAACAATGTATAAATGTCTATTATTTTGAACAAAGTAAATACAATAAACAATCACATTTTGAACAATTAGTTCAACATCTTAGCACATTTTAATTATTAGTTTCACAAAAGTCAAATTTTTACCATTAATAAATTATGAGACTACCATGAGAAAATGGTTTAACATTTCCTTTAAGAAAAATTTCTATCATTCACATAATTGTCCATTTTCTTTGATGTCACATGACTAATTGTGACATCAAAGAAAATTTTAATGGTTTTCCTAAGTTTATTTTTAAGTGACTGTGATTAAACACCATGCCAGGAGAAAGTGAATTGGGAGAAGGAATCTGGAAAATTTATTATCATGCTGGTGCTAGTTACTCAAAAAAATCCATAGTCAGTCTCCTTAATTACTGTTTTTATACAGTCTCCTTAAATACTGTTTTTTGACCTCATAGGTCAAAAACAGTAATTAACATGTTTTGGAAAAAAAGTAAAATTACAGACAAAACAAAATATCTGGTCAGAGAAAAATAACTTGGTCCTCATGGAATTATAGATATGTTTTCGGTCTGGCAAGTCAACAGAACATGTACTGTACACGAGAGATTTCACAACTTGAGGCAAAAGTTTCACATGTAACTGTTTAAAAAACATTAAGAAAAAACAAGAGTGCAAGTTATATAAAACTAAAGTATAAGAAGCAAGCAAGATTAGAACAGACCAACTATATATCTTGGATTAAAAAGTGCAACGTGGTGTTTTCTGACAAAAATAAGTTCATTCTTGATAGCCCAGTTGGAAATATTCTATATTGGCACGATTCGCAAAAGGTGCCTACGGAACATCTCATTAGACAAATGTGTCATGGTTTGGGAAACATTCTATTACGATGCTTAACTTATTCTTTAAAGTTAGTATTAAATTAAAATCTGAAAATTATCAGGTGTTATTGGAAAAACATTTGCTCCCATTTACATCACATTTTACAGGAAGAAAATGGTACTACCAACAAGGTAGTACTGTCAACTCAAAGATAATTCAAGACTGGCTTAAGACAAAGAAAATTAATGTTTTACCGTGGCCATCAAAAAGTTGTCACTCAAATCCCACTGAAAACCTTTCGGGGTTTAAGTTAAAATGTATACACAATCAAATTGCCAATTTTCAAGTGTTCAAGAACTTAAATGTGAAATTATGCACCAATGAAATAATATTGAAAATGACCTACTGAAAAAATTGATAGAATAAATGCTAAATAGGCTATTCAAAGTGATAAAAAGAAATGGAGCAAAAAATAAACTATTAATCAACAAAACATTTACTTCTCAATCTTTGTTTTGTCAAAATTCAAAACTGAAATTTTCACTGTTAATTTATTAACGGTAAAAATTTGACTTTTGATAAACTAATATCTAAAATGAGTTAAGATCATCAAACTAATTGTCAAAACAATTATCTTATCATATTTACTTTGTTGAAATAGTAATTGACCATTAAACATTGTTAGTTTTGAGATAACTAAAAAAATATGGTGGTCTTATAAATTCTTAATAGACTGTATAAATTTCACTATAAAGTTTGAATTACTTGTTGACAGTTTCATTACCAACAGCATCCAGTTTATCAGTGTTTTGAGCATTTTCATTCCAAAATATGGTAAGATAAAATAGTAAACAAGAGAAAACTAAAGATTTTGCCAATAGCAGAAAATGTATCCATAGAAGACTAGTGAAAAGCAAAAGAGAAATAAACCAACAATGAGTTGCTCAATTTTCCCAGCAACATTTAAAATTTTGGTGATCCCATATGTTGTTATATTTTATTAAAAAACTTTATATTTTTAACTATTATAAAATAGCAAAAACCTTAATTCTGAAGACAGGGATGAGTTTTATGAAAAATTTTAAATGCTATTCAATACTAATGACTAAAATCATCAATAAGTCCAACCCTATTGGAGATACACGTGACACCCATTATCTCCCCACCCCCTCAACTACCAAAATTTAATAGATCACCTAATAAATATGATGTCTTGACTGGAGGCAAAAACCTAGATCAAAATCTGTTTTAAAAGAAAGCTGATTCAATTAAAATGCTTTTGATAAATAAAATATCATGTGAGAGCAGGTTGGGAATTCGACCAATTTAAATAAAATCAAAACCTTTAAATGATCCAGCAAATCATTTTAATATCTTAAAAACGCTTTCAAATGCTTTAAGCGATCATCCTCAGTTATCATTTTGATTTTATTTATATAGTGTAGTCCAGTAAGAAAGTATTTGATTTATTTATTCAACCAATTTCTCCAATGATCACAAAAACAGGAAAATAGAATGTATAATAAAACTAAATATCACACAGGTACAGCTGGTGATATTTACAACCAAGGTAAAAACACTTGACTGTAATGGTGGATTTGTGAAAAATTCAATAAACAATTACAGCAGGGGTTTGATCTCCAAATTCTGTCTCGACTGGCCCTGGCAACAACTAGAGACCAATCGAAGGGTTAGAGGATAAAGATCACAACTAACCAGAGTGCCCAATCACAGATACAAAACCTTTAAGAGGCTCAAATTCAAAAACAAAGAGCTCTTACTTTGGTGTTTTTCATTCACAAGGATAATCAAATCATCTTCACCTCACCAGGCCAGCAGAGATCTTCCCACTGAGAAAAGAAGGAGATTTCCTATGTCCAGGAGCTCTTTGGCTGGGACAGAGAAACTTTTATCCTGGATACGAGAAACAACAAAGTGTGTTCTTCGCACTCTCCATCAGGGACAGTCCATTTAGAACACTGATCCACCAGGTAAGAGCGACCAACTTGGAAACCTCACCACAAACATCACATCCCATCTGGATGTGATGTTTGTGGTGAGGTTTCCAAGTTGGTCGCTGGATACTGTATGTCAATTTAGTTTTAAGGACCAAAGAAAATCTCCTGATTTTTGTAAAATGTCTTTTATATATTAACTAGCTGCAAGATCCCGCTTCGCTGGGTTTTTATTTGTATGTAATAGTATAGTTTTTTATATATATAAAATACTGTTTTTCTAAGTAATCTAGAATCTAGCTGCAAGGACCCACTTCGCTGGGCAAAAAGTAACGATAGTGAAGATTAAGATAATTACATTATAGCTAATCTTACCCGTTTTCACAAAATGCAAGAATTAGGTCCCCCGTTTCCAGACTAATTAGAGAATTTTTACGTTTAGTCAAACGAACAAATTTCAACGTTTCTGGAACGTTTTCAATCGTTCTATAATCGAACCAATTCGAATTTTATGTTCGAATTTAATTCGAACAAATTCGAAAAAATCGAACAAAACATTCGAAATAGAAAGCCACTTTCAACCACTTTCAGCCTCATATCTCCCGCACCCTTATAGCTATCGAGACGCAACCACCCCTATGCACGAATGGAGACTTGGGGCTACCACCACATACAAACACCATTCACGTGCGATGTGTAGTTTTGGCATAAAAGTGAAATATAGGGACATACATGTCCATTTTTATATATATATATAGATAAATGGGTGTTAATAGTAAATGGAGTTTGTGCCTCTGTGTCTAACACCATCACCTATATGCACTGTTCACACCTTCTCACCATCCTGAATGACACCTCCTCCAAAAAGGGAGTGTCAACCTCAATGCTAGGAATATCGGGCCTGTGATAAAACATCACGGGGATCCTCCACATAAACATACCTCCCTGTAAAATTTCAGAAATTTTTGACAAAAAACCCAGAAGTTAAGCTTCAAACAGTGTGAACAAAATCATGCCCCACACACAAACATACAGAAATTATCCCCAAAATAAACATTGCAAAAACCTAACAAACTAGCGAGAAAATTATACACAACGAATAAATGTTTTTGCCTGTGTTAAATGGGCATCATCAGGCAACAAAGTGATGATGCCCATTTGTTGCGTGACAATGCACATTTAACACAGGTTAAAATGTTCGCACTTTGTGTATGATTTTCTCGCTGGTTTGTTAGGTTTTAGCAGTGTTTATTTTTGTCTAATATTAACCTATTAACCAGTTTTAAAGTAGCAGTTGTTAAATTACCCCCAACTTTTTTTGTATTTCTTGACATTTCAAGGTGTCCTAAGACAATAAATGTAAAAATCTGGGAGATCGTGCTTTGGTGGTCGCCATACTTTCCCTCTGTATAACAGCCAGAAAGTAAAAAATTGCAAAAGAATTTGACATTCCATTGGGTACACTCTCTCTACACATTTGAGAAACAAGAAAAAATTTCAAAATTTCAGCAAACAACAATCAGGCAAAACAGAACAAAATGCATAAATGAGCATATCCAGATATTGAAAAGTATCTAAAAAATAATCAAATATAATGTATTTAAGTCTAACTATATTATTTGTATTGTGATATTAATGATCATATTAAAATAATGGTAGTTTCCTCAACTCAAAAATCTCCCCCCTCCTTCAACTTTGAATTATCAAGTCTACTGTATAAAAAATATTTTACATAATGTACAAAATAATAAAACAATAAAATAGTTTTAAATTAACAATAAAAGTACCTCTTTAAAAGCAAAACTCCACTTTTTTATGATTTGGCTAATATCTCTTTCTTCTGTTTGGAAATTTTCAATTACATCCTTAGCCAGTTTACTGTAGTAGTGATCAGTCTCTTTCAAAACAAAATCCTCTAATTGGTTGAATAAATCTGTTATTAGAAAAAATTGCAATTATATAAAAACAACTTAAACAATAGTAAATTTAAACAAATAAATAAATAATAAAACAGCTTAGAAATCAATTCCAGCAAAATTGATTTCTAAGCTGTGAATTTATTCTCTGACATTCCCTCCAGTTTCTGTATTTTGTTGCATAATAAATTTAAACATCAAACTAAATAAGAATTCTCTGAATAAATTAACAAAATAAAATAAATTTAATTATCTAAAATATGTAAAAACAACAAATTAAACATAAAATTAATTGTGTCATTTGAATCATATAGATTCATAAGAAAAATAAAATTTTAGGAATTAAAATTTTATTTATACTACTAAAAGTCTGAGACTGTTTGGTTATTATCAAGTACAGAAAACAAATGATGCAAAATACCACTATATTTTTAAAAATCCTATATCCCAAACAACAATAGGAACAAAATAAAACATGTTATGTTAAAATCGAGCAATGGATTACAGTTATTGTTTTTTCTGAAAATGTCGTCATTCCATACGTCACTGTTTTAAGTAGCCACTTACTTTTTTTAAATTTATATAACTCCACCAACAAATCATTCTTGTAAATAAATGTTTACTCTTAATTTATTCTGTGTACGTCGGTTTTGACAAAATGGCTGCACTACCCAATGACGACCCAAACGAGACTGAAAACATTTGCACAATTAATAAATTCAGTGCTGCAGTAGCATTGAGATTTTTGTGTGAGTTATCAATAATATGAGTTCTAATTATTTAAAAGTTTTTTATTTATATGCATAAAATAGAATGGCAGTCTTTGTCCTCTATACACTTCTAAACCCTTTGATGAATGTGCACCCACAGTTTACCAACCCTCCTCGGAAAAAATACAAATAAAAATTGAATATTAGTCTTATTTGAATAGAACAAAGATTTTTTGAACATCCAAGAATAAATATTTCGAACATCAATAGTCAGATCTTTGAAGTTAAGAATAAATGAAAATATAAAGAATCTAGCATTACCCACAATGCACACATTCATATACTGTTACTTGGCATATATTTAAAAAAGGATCTCCATGCCACAACTTACAGCATTGGCTTTTACTTCGTCCTGTGGAACTGAAATTAGAGTCCGAGGTATATTTCAAAGGAAAAATCTGTAAAACGAGATGTGAGGCAGCATTATGAATTTATAAAATGCTATTACAGTAGAGAGTCAATTATCCGAAAGAATTCCAGTCGGCAAATTTAAATTTTTGCCAGCGCTGTGGCGCTTCAATCTTTGGCTATGTCTTGGGCTACTCAAATATTTTATGTTTCTGATACTAAATTAACTTCTGAAGTATAATTTTTTATTGTTTTTATATTTTCCAATATATTTATTTTGTTTGTACAAAATAAAAAATACTTTTTAACGATACAATAGTCTTTGTTAGGCTTAACATTGACGAAAATTCAACGCAAAGCGGCATGCAACGGAGAAAAATTTCAACATGGGATAGGTTAATATATTTTTTTGTACATAATCGGTTATCCAAAATATTGATTTTCCGAACAACCCCAGTCCCCCATTGATTCGGATAATCGATGCTCTACTGTATTATCTATTACGGTATTGTTATAAATTTTTAGTATTAAGTAATCCAATGAGTCACAAGAGGTCTATTAACAATTAAATGCAACATATTTTACTTTATTTGATCAATGTAAAGGTACAAAAAATATTCAATCTTGTCAGGGGTACTTAGTTCATATAAACAATACAATGGCAATTCAATTATTGTACACTATATAACTGGATTGCGATTTTTTGTTTTTAACTGTGTATTAGTAGGGTATGCAATTGGAATGCACACAAAAAAGGAATTTTTCAATATTCCCCAGCGGGAGGAGAACATTAAGGCTTAACCGGAAGAACGGCTTCTACTGTACTATTTTAGATGCAATTTTTGTTTTCAACTACGTTTAGTCTTCATTAAGTACTTAGGTGCATTAAATTGATAACATTTCAGACATTGTTATAAATGCTTTTACATATTTCGATTTTTTAACCAAATGTTCAAACAGTTTTAAATTCAAATTTGTTATTGCATATTGGTTTGATTATAGAAGGATTGTAAACATTCCAGAAAATTGATCAAATTGAAAATACAGTAGAGCGTTGATTTTCCGAAAGTCAATCCTCCAAAACGTCAATCATCTGAAAGAATCCCAGTCGGCAAACTTAAATTTTCGCCAGTGCTGTGGCGCTTCAATCTTTGGCTATGTCTTGGGCTACTCAAATATTTTACGTTTTTGATACTAAATTAACATCTGAAGTATAATTTTTTACTATTTTTATATTTTTCAATATATTTATTTTGCTTGTACAAAATAAAAAAANCTAAAGGCTGGTATACACGGTAAGGAAATCCTTTGAGGATTAACCGTGATTTTTTTTCTATCTATCCATTTTTAAATAAAAATAATTCTTTATACGTTGGAAGATATTTTAATAAGTTTTGTAAATTACTATGTTCGATCCAGTCAGTTATATCCGAGTTTTTTTCGTCTGTTAAGCGCATCCTTTGAGGATTTCCTTACCGTGTATACCAGCCTTAAACGGGTGAGGTCGGTGCTCTGTAAAGCGCGTGCCCAAATCTGGCTTTTTGGAATCTGACAATACAGAGATTCCACTCCGCCACTAATATTCGAATATACAATAACGATATTATTATTTTTTTTTCACGTGTAGTATAGAAATTTGTAATAAGATACGTAATGCGGTTATAATAAAATATTGCGCGATTATTTTTATATAATTAAAATTAATATGTATTTATATTTTATAAAATACAGGGGAAGCGGCGCTTCCACCGCTTCTAATGAAGGCACGCCACTGCGGGACAGCTTCCACGGCGAAGATATCCGAATGGTGTAAAGCAGCCAGATTAAAGTCATTTACACATGGCTTTGCAGAGCACCAACCTCGGTTTAGCCAGTGGATGCTAAACACCAAAATATTAAGGCCGGGAACACGCACGCGTAAAATTGTTCGGCAGAAAACTGAATCAGAAATCGGCTTTCGGTTCAGTTTCTGTTTTACGCTTTTATGCCAGAACACACACGTAAAAATTCTGGCCGAATAGGAAACGTCATACGTAGTTTAGTAAAATGGCACCGTCGGTATCTGATATTATTCCACTCAATCGTTGAGGATTTGAAGAAATGATTTTATTAGGAAATATTTTGAGAGCGCGATTTACGTGGATTTAATAATTCGTTGATTCCGGAACTACAATTTACTGAGAATACTATATACAGTAGGTAAATTGTATTTTTTTACATATCGTTTTTTGACGTTATTTCGAAATAATAAATTTTAAAATCTTCAGATTTCTGAGAATGTCACCAGAATTATTCGAATATTTGCTGTCGAAAAAGAAATACTCGATGGAGAGAAGCGATATCTGCTACAGATAGATTGGCTGTAACATTACTGTTTGTTAATCTTTCGTACTTTGTAAAATCAGTTAGGTCTTTAGTATACTTTTATCATAAAACATATAAGTTTTTAGATTTATTGCTACGGGCGAGACAATTCGAGGCCTCGGTTTCTCATTTAGAATAGGACGATCGACAATTGCTAAAATAATCGAATAAACTACGGGTTTCTTCGATTATAATTATAATTTTTTTCCCGAATGTATAAATTAAAATCGTTATTAAATTTAAATAGCAATTAACTTATAAATTGCTATTATTTTTATTATAGGTTATTTGGAACAATTTAAAGAATGATTATATAAAAATGCCAGATAGTGAAAACGAATGGAAAGCAATTGCTAAAGGCTTTGAATCTCGTTGGCAGCTACCACATTGTTGCGGGAGCATTGATGACAAGCATATACAGTACTGGTTCAATGTCGTAAAAATTGCGGAAGCTTAAATTATAATTATAATGGGTCATTTGACAAAATTTTATTAGCTGTGACTGATTATGAATACAAATTTATTTCCGTGGAGCTTTGTTTCATGAGTGGTGAAAGTGATGGTGGGATTTTTCAAAGAAATTCTTTTGCAAAAAAGCTTCTAGAAGAAAAATTAAATCTTTCAAATGAAAATATATTATTCAATTCTAATAAAGTATTCCCATATTTCTTTGTTGGAGATGAAGCTTTTCCTTTTTAAAAAAGTTTAATCAGCTTTCACTCATCCCCAAAAAGTGTTTAACTATCGCCTTAGTAGAGCTCGTAGAAAATGCTTTTGGAATTCTATCGATGCGCTTTAGAATTTTTAAAAGACCACTTAATTATAGTGAGAAAACAATAGAAAAAAATAGTTGCTGCTGCCCTTGTTTTAACACAATGTTTTATTGACAGAAAATGCAAGTATTTACAATCCCCTTCTCCGATTATGATAATGATAATTTTAATTTTAACCAAGTTTATGGCGCCAAAATGGAAATATTAATTCTTTACATTGTTCTTTTGGATCTAATATGCATGCCATACACGCAAAATCGTTGAGTGACGAATTAGCTATTTACTTGCGTAATGAAGGATCTGTACCATGGCAGAATAGCAAGATATATCCAGGTGTATTATAAAAAAAATTTAAACAATTCGTATTGTATAAGTTAATATTTGTAATTATACAGTATAAACTACTTAAATTTTTCGTTAGTAATAATAAAAACAATTTTATAAACTTTGAAAATGATTTTATTACTTAGAGGCAAATTACATCTTGACCTTCAACTCTAACATTAATAATTCAATATTTTTTGTTGCATTGTATTGATCTCTTAAATCCAATTTTTTCAATCTTCGTTTCAAGGATTCGCAAAATAAATCAATTTTATCAGGCAATTACCTAAAATAAAAAAAACTTTTAAATCTGTCATTGTTTTGTACTATATTTTGCCTACATTCATAAATTTGAACTTTTCAAAGAAAGGGTATTTGTTTTTAAAAAAAATTAGATTACTACTTTTTAAAAAGCCAAATATCCTTTTTTTGAAAAAC